TTAATGCAATCGTTAAATAATGCTTACCTGGCTACTTACCTACGCCTCCACAGCACCAACATATATAACGCAATCATAAATGGATATGTACTTAAACGTATATGCCACTAATCATGCATAACCATCAATCATATAAAAATAATGGCGTAAAACGAAGCATTTATACTAATTTCTGGGAAATAACATGTATATAGGTATAAACGGAAAACAAAAGCCCACTCACTGGTATGTAGAAGGGTCGTAGCCCCCCTGCCTCGAATGTGCACGCTCGTCCTCGGGATACGTGTCACCTATATGCGAATTAACTATAAAAACGTTAACTTTAAAGCACATAATCGTCCGTTCAAAATAACTTCTCATACATTGCTCAAAATGGACAAATGAATATACCAACGTGATCTACACAACCTCACGATCACAACCATATTTTAAAAATAATTTTTGGACCCCGCACGCGCCCCCACGCGCCAGCACAGACACGGACCCACGCGCCCCCACGCGCGGCCACGTGCCATGCACGCTTACGGAATATTCCCCTGCACTGACGGAATATTCCGTTAACCCTAACTGACGCCGTCAACGTCCGTTAGGAATATTCCGTTAAACCCTAACGGAATATTCCCCTGTCTTCTCCGGCCAACCCCCTCGCCGGCGCCGTCGCCGGAAAACCTGCAACTTAGGTTTTCTCGCTCGTTTTTCAACCGTTTTTCAAGATTTTTGCACCATTTTAACCCTTAGGACTAGTAGAACACGATCCTACAAGTTTTAAGGCCTAAAACTACGAGAAAATACCTGTCCAAGTTTCCAAAACTCGGCCAACTTCGAACCAAGCTTTTCCGACGTCCAAACTTGTCCAACGAAGCACTCCCAAGCTCCTGGGAACCTCACAAACACAACTACAAGCTTCAAAAGTCCAAAAACAAGCTAGAATGAGTTTGCATGAACAGTAGCTAAAACGGACATGGCGATTTCGACGTGAAAACGTCGAAGTTCTTACCTGAAGATGGTACCATTGGACTCCTCTCAGCCTCACAAGCACGATGGTGGTCTTGGATCCCTCGATCTGTGACGTTTTAGGGTGGGTGTGTGTGTGTGTCCGTACGTTTGTTTGAGGAAGAAGAAGAATAATGGACTCGGGGGGAGAGAGAGAGAAAGAAAGAGACAGAGGGTGAGGGAAAGTGAGATAGTGTGGGTGTGTGGCCCAACACAGGTCCACACCTCACAAAACAATCCACAACGTGACAAAAACGAACTAGGGGCAAAGTCGTAAATTCACATGTGCGTTTCGATATTTCCGGGACGGGATGTCACAACCTACCCACCTTATTAGAATTTCATCCCGAAATTCAAAACAACCGAAAACCCCCCTAGTAGCCAAAGAACAATCTAGGATACAAATCCCTCATCCGATCTTCTGTCTCCCACGTCGCTTCCTCGACTGAATGGTTCCTCCACAAAACCTTCACTAAATTCACCGTCTTGTTCCTCAGAACCTTTTCTTTCCAATCGATGATCGTCACCGGTTCCTCGTCATACGTCAAGTCTGGATTAATTTCTAACGGTTGAGGAGGTATCACATGAGATGGATCAGCAACATAATGTCGGAGCATAGACACGTGAAAAACGTTATGCACTCTGGCTAGCTCCGGAGGTAACTCCAACCTGTAAGCTACCTCACCAACTCGCTCCACGACCATGTATGGTCCGATGTACCGTGGACTTAACTTGCCTTTCTTCCCGAACCTCACTACACCTCTCCACGGTGAAAGTTTCAAAAATACCCAATCTTCGACCTCGTACACTCTGTCCGTAGCATGCCGATCCGCTAAGCTTTTCTGTCTATCCTGTGCTGCTTTCAAATTAGTCTTGATTACCTGAACGTTCTGAGTAGTCTCCTCAACAATCTCCGGACCCACTAAAACTCTTTCTCCGACTTCTGACCAACACAACGGTGTGCGACAAGCTCTACCATACAATGCCTCAAACGGCGCCATGCCAATACTCGAATGAAAACTATTATTATAGGCAAATTCCGTCAAATCCAACCGCTGGTGCCAAGCATCACCAAATTGCAACACCGAAGTTCGCAGCATATCCTCCAACGTCTGAATAGTCCTCTCAGATTGTCCGTCTGTCTGAGGATGATACGCCGTGCTGTAGAGTAGTCTCGTACCCAAAGCTTCCTGGAAAGCCACCCAAAACTTAGATGTGAACCGTGGATCACGATCCGAGACAATACTCACCGGAACACCATGGTACTTCACTACCTTCGAGATGAACAACTCCGCTAATCGACTCAAAGAATACTTCTCTCTCACTGGAATAAAATGTGCGGACTTAGTGAGCCGATCAACGATCACCCAAATGCCGTCAAAACCGTTATGTGTACGCGGGAGCTTGTACATAAAATCCATGGTGATAAATGGCACACCTGCTGCAACAATCCAAATGGCTTCTTCCTTTCTGCCTTAACCTGCTGACAAATGGCACACCTACTCACATACTCGGCTATCTCCCTCTTCATACCCAGCCAATAATAAAATGGTCGAATGGTATGATACATTTTAGTAGCTCCTGGATGCATGGCGTAAGCCGAGATATGTGCTTCATCCAGAATTTCCTTCTTTAAATCCACAACATTCGGCACGAACATTCTTCCTTCTTGCATCAACATGCCATCCGATTCACGTACCCTGAGGTCTCTCCTCCTACCTTGTTCTCGAGCTTGGATTAATTCTTGAGTCTGCTCATCGACTGCTTGGGCTGCCAGCACCCGATCAACTAAGATAGCCCTAACTTGAAAATTAGCAAGTAAAGCCACATCTCGATCTTCTGCTTCTAACCTCACTCCTGTAGCACGCAAGTCCGCCAAAAGGGGAATACGGCTTGCATACAACGCATTAATGCGGCCCTGAGACTTCCGACTAAGTGCATCAGCAACTACATTCGCACGACCAGGGTGATAATCAATCGTGCAGTCGTAATCGCTGAGCAACTCCATCCACCTCCGCTGATGAAGATTAAGTTCCTTCTGAGTAAAAAGATATTGGAGACTTTTATGATCAGTAAAGATCCTACACTTCTCGCCATAAAGGTAGTGTCTCCACAATTTCAACGCAAAAATGATAACGGCCAACTCCAAATCATGAGTAGGGTAATTCAACTCATGGGGTTTTAACTGACGTGAAGCATAAGCAATCACCCTACCATGCTGCATCAACACACATCCCAGACCATTCAAGGAAGCATCGCTATAAACCTCGAAATCACCACTATCGTCCGGGAGTGCCAGAACAGGTGCTTGAGTGAGACAACGCTTCAACTGCTGGAAACTCTGTTCACACCTATCATCCCACTCGAATTTAACATCTTTCCTCGTTAGTCTCGTCAATGGTAAGGCAATCACCGAGAAATCCTTAACAAATCTCCGATAATACCCCGCCAAGCCAAGGAAACTTCTCACCTCGGTGACGGTTCGCGGTTGCTCCCAATTCTCCACCGCCGCAACCTTCTGAGGGTCAACCAGAATACCCTGAGCAGAAATAACATGCCCCAGAAACGCTACTTGGTTTAGCCAAAATATCATCGATAAAAACAATCACAAACCTATCCAAGTAAGGCTGGAACACCCGGTTCATTAAATCCATAAAAGCTACTGGTGCATTCGTTAACCCAAATGGCATAACCAGAAACTCGTAATGACCGTAACGAGTCCTGAACGCCGTCTTAGGAACGTCATCCCTATTAATCTTCAGCTGATAGTACCCAGACCTCAAGTCAATCTTAGAGAACACACAAGCACCTCTAAGCTGATCGAACAAATCATCGATACGAGGCAACGGATAACGATTTTTAATCGTCACCCGATTCAATTGCCTGTAATCGATACACAGCCTCAAAGTTCCGTCTTTCTTCCTCACAAACAATACTGGAGCACCCCAAGGCGAAGTACTAGGCTGAATAAAACCCTTATCCACTAGTTCCTGCAGCTGCACCTTCAATTCCCTTAATTCAGCAGGTGCCATACGATAAGGAGTCAAAGAAATAGGATTAGTACCTGGAAGCAACTCGATAGTGAACTCCAAATCTCGATCTGGTGGCAACCCAGGCAAATCCTCGGGGAAAACATCTGGAAAGTGTCGGACAACCCTCACGTCCTCAACACTACAAGGAGGAGCCTCATCCAACACCACATGGGCTAAGTACCCCTGACAACCCTTAGTCAACAACTTTTTCGCTTGCAATGCCGAAATAACACCATGTCTCACCCCACTCTGCTCACCAACAAAGGTAACCACGGGTAGTCCAGGACGACGAAATGTAACTATCTTCCCGTAACAATCAATATTGGCACGATTGGGGTGCAACCAATCCGCGCCCAAAATCACATCGAAATCAACAATATCTAACGGGATAAGATCAGCGGGCATAACCACGCCCTCAACTATCACTGGACACCCTGGGTACACACGATCCACAATACATCTCTCCCCTCTAGGCATAGCGAACTCTAAATCATACCCTAGAGGTGTGGGGCGAGGTTGCGTCACTTGAGCAAATGTATGAGAAATCACAGAATGTGTAGCTCCACAATCAATTAAGACTCTAGCAAAATAACCAAGAATATTTAACGTACCCATAATCAGATCCGGGTTGTTCTGAGCATCCTGCAGAGAAATGTTGTGTATACGCCCCTGGCCCTGCTGCCGTCCGCCACGACCTCTGCTCGCCTGAGCACCACGACCTTGCGTACCACGCCCCTGACTGGGCTGACCGGTCTGTCTCGAAGACCCTGCACTGCTAGTAGCAATCTCTCCTGGCTGAACCGGTCCTCCCTGATACCATTGAGAACTACCGGCTGGAGCGGGAGGATACGGCATATAGCCGCCCGAATACTGAGGGTAACCACCCTGGGAGTAGGGGTCCTGAGGATACTGATACTGTCCCGGGGCATAGGGGACAGCATCACCCTGGTAGTGGTAGGCACCACCTCGACCTGCCTGTCCGTAACCACTAGGACCTTGAATCTGCTGGATAGGGACAGGTGGTGGCAGGAAAGTCTGCTGCGGTCTCTGCTGTTGACTCTGGGGACATTGCGCGGCTCGATGCCCAATCTGCCCGCAAGTGAAACAACCACTACTGCCCCGCCTACACTCGCCAGTGTGCCGATTATTACACCTTCGGCAAAGTGGGGCCCTACCTCGACCACCGTCCCCCTGTCTCTGGCCTCGAAAGCCTCCAGTAAATCTACCTCCTCGTCCCTGACCCGTGGCACTGAAACCACCACTAGAAGAACTAGAGCTGTTACCACCCCTCTTAAAGTTTTGAGTCTGACGAGGCCCGAGCGATGCCTGACCTTTACCTTTGTCGTCCTTCTTCTGATTACCACTCTTCTCATTCTCATCACTCTCACTCGTCATATTCTCAGAGTCCTCGACTCTCAGCAAAACCTCGTAGAACTCCTGATAAGTATCACAATGAGTGGAGGTCGACATCGAACGCCACTTCTTCTTAGTGCTGATACGAAAACGGCGAAGCATCTCCGCTGGGTTACTAGCAATCTCAGGGTGGTAGCGAGATAAGTCGGTAAACTTCCGATAATACTCGTTCGCAGACATCTTCCGCTGTTTCAATTCAATGAATTCCTGTTTCTTGCGATCAATATACTCTGGGGGCACGAATCTCCTCTTAAATAGCCTAATGAAAACATTCCAGTCCGTCTTCTCGGCTGAAGTCAAACTACGAAGCTCCTGCTCCCACCAGGATGCAGACTCCGTACCCAGAAACCATGAAGTCGTCTCGACCCATCTCTCAACAGGGAGATTCCCCTGATTGTTCAACACTCGGAAAGTCTTCTCAATATGCTCCAACCAACGCTCCGCGGCCTCGTGCCCCTCGTGACCGTAGAACTTATCCAATTTCAGATTGTACATAGTTTCCAGAGGAGTCCTCTGGGGAGGGCGGATAGCTGCCTGGATAGCAGTAGCAATAGCTTGATAGGAGCATATTCATGCGACTTAATTAGCTTGTTCTCGTGCATTTATGTTGTGTTTCCTTAGCTATTTCAGTGTTTAAGGCCACTTTTGTGTATTTTCAGATTATAAGGCCAAAGTGTGCAAGAAGATGCAAATTGGAGTCTTTTGGAGCGAAAGAGGAATGAATGAGTTGAAGACTTGAAGAAACGACGAATTCCTACGCCAACGATGAATTCTTACCAAAACGAAGAATCCTACTCAAACAAGGCTTCCTATTTTAGGAAAGTTGACCCTAAGTTTCCCGTTTTGGTAACCTTTCCTAATCTTAAACGTCCGTATTTTCTAGCCACTTTGAAGTCCTTGTAGGCGCTTTAGGACACAAAACCAAGGCCCTAGCCGCACCATTTTAATCTTTCCCCTTTAATTTCTGATTTTTCCCTAATTCTAGCAGCCTTTGAATTAACTTTAATTTAATTTCAATACGCTAGGGTTTATTTTCTAAAACCCTACACATTTTTACAACCTAGCCGCACATTATTCTATATTTTCCCATTCATTCTATTCGGCCTTGACACATTAATCCTAGTAGCCGCATGCAGCCATTCAATCTTCCTCCTAAGCCGTGGCCCCCCCCATTTATCAAAGGAAAACCTAATAAACAAAAAAAAGTTTCAAGCCGTAGCCACCATATTTTTATATTTTCTTCTTAGCCGTGATTCATTCTGATTTTTCCACCCTAATCTTTCCAGCCGTGGCAATTCATTGAGCCATATTTTTATTCCCTCAATTCCCCCCTAAACCGTGCAGTCCATAACTTAAGAACCTAGTCGCAAATCCCATTCATTCCAGTTTTTTTAATCAGCCACTTTCTTCCCATTATTCCTTCCCATCAATCCATGCATCCATTCACAACCTAATTATCCCATCACCCAAAACCTAATTGCCGCAGCCATCATTCTCCCCAAAAATCATTCAGCCACCATCACCCTAATTCTCCTCTAGCAGCCGCAACATATAGCCCTCCATTCCAGCCACTTTATTTCATTCCAGCCGCAACTTCACACCATATTCTCTCAAACAGCCGCAACAAGAAGAAAGGAGGAAGAGGAATTTAAATCGCGCAGAAATTCAAGTGGATTCGTTGGGCGTTTTAGGTGTAATCAATCCTTTGTTCTTTATGTTTAAATTCAATTGTATTTCTCTTTTTGCGAACATGAGAGGCTAAATCCCCCTAGTTAGCTAGGGGGTGATTCGAAACCATGTTTACGCTTGCAATATGAATTGATTACTTTTGGTTGGAATTTCATGAATGGTGAATTCAATTTGTTTAACTGCTTGATCGATAACTTATTTATGTATGTTGATTGAGAGTGCACGCTTAATTTTCATGCATGAATATGACGCTAGAATATAAGTGAATTTCACCTAATAGTTATGAACTTATTTTCACAAGTAGTGGAGGTTGCTTATAAACAATCGCGTTAAATAAATTCTTGGCATAAGTTTCATGCAATCATAGTAACGAATGCCTCGTCAATACTTATAGTTTTCATGATGCTTATTGATTCTTGCTTGTATCTCTATTATGCAATTCATGTAGGGAACTTGTGGGGAATGCTTTGGGTTGTCGCATGCAATCATCCAATTCATTAACTTAAGGAAAACTTGACGGTTAATTTAAGCGGACCTAATTAACCCGGGGTGTTGAGTTTCATAATTTATCGAAAGACCAACTGAAAATCAAAGTGTATGCAAGTGTGACATGTGTGGAGAAGAACCTTCTAGCTAGCATTCATCCATATTTTCATCACATTCATATTTACATTATGCCTTAAATTTACAATCTATGCATTTAATTTATTTTCGTCAAAACCACAATCCCCCTTTACCTTAGTGTCTAATTTAGTTAGAAAGTGTCTTAATTTGTGTTTATAAGTGTTTTGTATTCTTTGAGTCTTTTGATTTGTTTGAGTGTTTTTATTGTTAGTTTTGCATTCTTTGAGTCTAGTTTAGTGTTTCAAACTTTATTTTACGTTTTTGAGTCAGTTTCCAAGTGATTTTGCAATCCCTCCTAATCCCCGGTTAAGAACGATCCCTACTTATTTATATACTACAATTGTCACAAGAGGGTTTTAATTTGTGTGCTTACTTAGTTCGCATCAAATTTTTGGCGCCGTTGCTGGGGATTAGCAACTTTGCTAATCCCTTGGATTGTTTAATTTCTGTTTATTTATTTTGTTGAAGTTTCTGATTTTGTTTTGTTTTCCTTGTTTTAGGTACTAGTGCATGACTCGGAGTTCTCAACCGATTCGTGAGCGTATCTCGGACTTTGACAGTGACTTTGAGAGGACTTTGAGACGAAGGAAGAAGCATCACGAATCAACTCCGCCAAGCCCGGAACCTGAGCTTGACGAACAAGGCCTAGAAGAGGAAGAAGAGGCCACGGCAGGAATCTTTGAGGAACCCACGGCAAGAGTATTTGAAGAAGTCCAAGGCATGGCGGTGGACAACCGTACACTCAAGGAGCTTTCCGCCTCAGGTTTGGATAATGCCGCACCCTTGTGCATTCAATACCCCACGGCTGCCCAAGGTAAGACGGATGAGTTTGAATTAAAGTCAAGTTTGCTTCATCATATTCCTAAATACCATGGCTTGTCCATGGAAGATCCTAACAAACATTTGAAAGAATTTGAAGTAGTTTGCTCTAGTATGACTCCCGTCACTGTTGACGGAAATATCTTGAAGATGAAGGCTTTTCCATTCTCTTTAATGGACAAAGCCAAGGATTGGTTGTACGATTTAGCTCCCGGAACCGTCACATCGTGGGAGAGCATGAAGAGGGCCTTTTTGGAGAAGTTTTTCCCAACTTCTCGAATCATCCTTTTGCGTAAAAGGATAAGTGGCATTCAACAAGATGAAGGTGAGTCATTTCCTACGTACTATGAACGTTTTAAATCTCTTGTTGATTCTTGTCCACAGCACCAGATGAAGGAGGAGTTGCTTCTGCAATACTTCTACGAGGGGCTCCTGCCAATCGAACGACAAATGCTCGACGCATCGGCGGGTGGAGCATTGGTGGACAAGACGCCCAGGGATGCCAAGGTCTTGATCGCGAACCGAGCGTTGAACGCTCAACAATATGAAGGAGTGGGGCAAAGAGGACCCCCACGGCAGCAGGTTCATGAGGTAAGTTCCGCACCTGATATTCATTCACAGTTAGCTAATCTTACCTCCATTGTGTCTCAGATGGCCGAAGGCATGAGGATGCAAGGACCGGTTGTATGCGGGGTGTGTTCGATCCAAGGACATGCTTCTGAGAAGTGCCCGCAACTCATAGAAAATGGTGGATGGGAAAGCGCCAACGCGATTGGATTTCAGGGTCAAAACCAACCGAGGAACGACCCATATTCTAACACTTATAATCCAGGTTGGAGAGACCACCCAAACTTCAAATGGAGAAAACCCCAACAACCACCACAACAAGGAGGCTTTAGGCAACAACCTCCGGGCTTCTTCACCAAGCCATTCGTCCCCACACAAGCACCTCCACAACCTGCCCAAACAATTTCAGGTAACACGTTAGATAATGATACACTCCTTAAGTTACTAACGAATTTGTCTCAGGGGCAAGAAGATCAAGCGAAGGCTATGCAAAATCAAGATAAGAGGGTGGATCAACTTGAGAAACAAATTGGGCAGATTGCCGAGTTTATAGGTAAGTTTCGAGATCCCGGACAACTCCCTAGTTCCACCATTCCAAATCCGAAGGGAGGTTTCGAATCAGCTAAAGCAATCACCCTAAGAAGTGGTAAGGAAGTTGGGGCAGGTCCTACATCAAAATCAAGCGAAGAAGAGGATGAAAAGCTGCAAAATGAAGAGGAGGATACAAGCAAGCCCACGGCAAGGGTACAAACACCCTTGCTGCAACTACCAAGGGACATTAATGCACCCAACTCATCTCATTCGGCCACCAAAGGTAAGTTGGGGTCAAAATTGATTAATTCTAACTTTGTTCCACCCAATGTTCCTTTTCCTAGCAGATTTTTGCAATCCACGAAAGAAGAGGAGGAAAAAGATGTTCTAGAGACATTTAGAAAAGTTCAAGTCAACATACCCCTTTTGGATGCAATCAAGCAAATCCCGAAGTATGCGAAGTTCTTGAAAAAGCTTTGTACAACAAGGAAATGGATTCAAGAAAAAGAGGTGGTTCATGTAAGTGAGAATGTCTCTGCCATCTTGCAACGCAAACTACCTCCCAAATGCAAAGATCCAGGTAGTTTCACTATTCCTTGTGTAATTGGAAATACAAAGTTCGAACATGCCATGCTAGATTTAGGTGCCTCAATTAATGTCATGCCATATTCTGTTTATGCATCTATGAATCTAGGAGAGCTTAAAAAGGATGGTGTCATTATTCAATTAGCTGATAGATCTAATGCATACCCGAAAGGAGTTTTGGAGGATGTTTTGGTGCAGGTAAACCATTTGATTTTTCCTGCAGATTTCTATGTGCTTGACATGGAAGATTCGGCACACTCTCCATCATCACCACTCTTACTTGGACGACCTTTCATGAAAACAGCTCAAACCAAGATTGATGTGGCCAAGGGAGCAGTCACTATGGCCTTTGGTGGTGATATGATTAACTTTAAGATTCCTGAATCGATTGAGACTACTAATGATGTTCGTTCTTGTTGTGCCATTAATGTAATTGAACACATAGGGACGGAGTGTTCAACAAAGATCAAGAAGGATGTTTCTCGAACTACCACCGAGAAGGAACTTGGAGTAGAGAACAAGGAGTGCACGGCTCCAATCTTGAAAGGACCACAATTGGCCATGAGCAACCCTTGTGCATCCGTCCATTGTGCTACCACTTCTTTGCCGAACAAAGGTAAGCCACCTATTCCAAATTCGATTCCCAATTCAACTAATAGGTGGTTACCTCGTGTGGTGCA